CCATCCATCCATCCATCCATCCATCCATCCATCCATCCATCCATCCATCCATCCATCCACTCACTCACTCACTCATTCATTCTTTTATTTGACTGGTTGGTTGGTTGGTTGGTTGGTTGGTTGGTTGGTTGGTTGGTTGGTTAGTTAGTTAGTTCGTTAGATAGTTTTGCTTTTGTTGATGCAGGGTCTCTCTATCTAGCCCTGGCTGTCCTAGAACTGGCTATATAGTCCAGTCTGGCCTCAGATACTAAGAACTACACACTTCTGCCTCCTAAGTGCTGGGATTAAAGGTGTAATCTTTGTTCTTCCATTTAGAAAAAATTCCAATTAGAATAATTATCTTTGTATGGGGGTGTGTGATAAGAATTGGATACAGGACTCCATTTATGCCAGGCTCTTCTGTGAGGTCCTCCAGCCAAGAATTCTTTTCTGTTGTCAGAAATAAGCCTTGTTTAATAACATACAGTTCCTTTTGCTCTTGAATAAAATTTATTCATTAACTACTGATGTCTCAATCTTACACCTAAGAACAATTGAACTTCCTATATATAGAAATATATCTCAAATTGAAGATTTCACTTTATGGATTGGAACATACAAATTCCATTTTTCACTGTTCACCATAATTATAAACCTTTACTTTCGATCCACAGTGAATTAAAGTAGATTGTTACTCTGTCAGGAAAACTCTGATGTATATAACTCAACTGGGTACAGTCATTACAAGACTAAACATAATGACGAGATTAATAGAAAGAAATGATTTTTCTAATCCCACCTCATTTTTGTTCTTTAAAGGTGATTTTTCTTCAGATAGCTAGTCAGTCTAAAATCCAGTAACCTTAGCCTAGCTCGAATGCTTTAGAATGTTAAGGCAGTGCCTTTTAGTACATATAGCATGAAAATGTCAAAGATAGGGCAGGCCTTCTAGAAATTAAAATTTTAAGATAAATAAAACATTTAATTGAGGAAAAGTATTAATTTTTCCTCTTCATGTTACATTGGACTAAATCCAGAGTGTTGCACTGACAAAGTGCTCTACACTAACCTGTATCCCTTGACTTATTGTTTTAATGGTTGGTAAATTGGCCATGGTGTCCTCCAGCGTGTCATCCTGCCACCTGAGTAGCTAGAATAACACATGTGCACTACCACCCCGGGCCACACTTAATTCTTATTTAAGACTTTCCAGAGTATAGTGTGGTACTTATGTTTAATTCTTTTGCTCTTTTTCTTAGAGAGTAGTTTTTTAAAGAAGTAGATTGTGAAGAAGTTGAGTTGTCTACATGTTAAACTTTTTTTAGCTCCCTATCTTCAATCATGAAGATAATAGAGATAAGGATTACAAAAATTAGGTTGATTATTAATAATTGTCATATTCTAAGAGGTTATATGATATGATTCTGATACTGTTTTTTGTGATGTCTAGAAATGGGTGAATAGAGAGATAACAAACTTTGACTACCTCATTCAAATAAATACCATGGCAGGACGGACCTATAATGACCTTGCACAGTACCCTGTGGTGAGTTTTATATAAATCTCAAAAATAAAATTAACTTATACTTTATAATGTATGAAATTATATATGATGTTTATGTTTTTATTTAGAAAAGACGGAGAGGCTTGGGTATAGCTCAGTGGTAGAATGTTCTTTTGCCATATGTGAGGCTCTGGGTCTAATCTCAAGCACTGTAAAAGAAACATACAAAGTGTACATGCTTTCCCTATATGTTTTCCACCTTCATATTTTTAAAGATGTATTAAAACATGAAGACTAGTAATTAAAAGTAAAGTCCTTTTTTATTTTATTAAAAAATAGCTCTGAAGCATTACTGAAAATTACTCACTTGAACTGAAGATAAATAAGTATTACAATATATCTTTTTTTTTTGGTTTTTCTTTTTTTTTTTTATTAAACCAAATCGTAATTTTTCCTTATTTACACAGGGGTTATAAACACAGAAAGGCAGGATATGGGGAAGGGGATGACACTGGAGTGTGGGTGTTCAGGGGGAATACAGATATTTTCAGAACGGGGTATCGGCTGGGTGAGGGTTCAAGGGACAGGTCACTATGACTCTGCCTGTGATTCACTTGTCCTTATCTAAGTTGGTATTATCTGCCAAGGCTACCTATTTACAAGGTCTATGACTACTCAGGCTGGTAAATTTCCACAAAAGCTACCTGTTTACAATAGCATATAGCCATCTGTTTCAGTGTTTTTCCACTGAGACCCAAGACTTTGTGTTAGCATACATGTATGACAGGCCTATTGCTGATTTTAGGCCTATGAATGATATTAGGCCTTCAGTGTATAAGCAGGGCTGCCCCTGACATCTCCTCCCTTCTCTAAGTATAGAAGGGCTGTGGCGATTCTAATCTTGCAAAGGCGGGGATAGAGGTCTGACCTCCAGTAATTGAAAGGGACCTTGTAATGGCTCCTGTCCCCCTGTCGTTGTCCAGTGAGGCATGTGGGCCATCCCAATGTCTTTTTCCTGGAGAGGGGATACTTTTGACATCAACCCCTAAGCAGTCAGGCTTGTCCCTCAGGGAGCCCAGAGAGATATTTTTAACTTTTATTTATATTCCCTTGCAGTGCTTAGCCTCGCAGCCTAAGCAAGAATTCAGATCGCCTGTCAGAGGGGGTTCTGGGTGGCCCCTCTCTGCTTGGTCTAGGGGCAGAAGTCCCCCCTTTTAGGTTGGGTGGAGATGGGTTTTGGGAACACCCTGGATAGAGTAAAACCTCATCTTGAGTCTCATGGTCCTCCACAGCCAACTTATGATAATGTATCTGAGTAGGTTTTGCTACCAAATTATCTATCTGTTGTTTCACAAAGTTAGCCTATTTAAGGCCCAGGGACCAAAAGAAATAAGCAAAAATAACCCAATTAATGGTCCCAAGATGGGAGGAAGTAGGGTTGACAACCATGAAGAGGTTGAAAACCAATTCTTGTACTAGCTCTCATCTTTCTCTTTCTCTCTCTCTGACTTTTCTCAGGGCCTTCTCTGACCTTTTTCATGCTCTCTTTAACCATCCCTGTCTTATCCATGTAAAAGCAACATTCTTCTTTAAGGGCTGTACACTGTCAAGAGCTGTACACAGTCTTTTCTATTGTAAAAGAGTGAATCAAGTCCAATAAAGTCCTTTGCAATTTTTGGAGGTCTCTTCAGAAAGTAGAACGAGGGATGTCTTCAGATTAGTGATGTCAATCTCTAGCTGTTTGATGTCCTTGTCAATGGCCCATCTAAGGTCTGAGTAGTATGCGTCCAGAGGCTAGCATCAGGATTAGAACTTCTAACAGCAGACATCACGGGTGATTCATTTTTACCTGGAAAGGAAAAAGAAGGGAATTCTCAGGGAGATTTCTCTTCCCTGGATGTCAATTGTTATTTATCTTATTTATGGTTGGGCCTGGCTTTGTGGGTGTATCTATTTATTTCATTAATCTTTTTGGCAGCCATTTAGCTGTGCCTTCTGTAGTATCCAACAGGCATATCAATCCTCAGCTCCATATGAGAACTGGGTCCCAGCCATTCCATTTAAGGGTAAGAGGGTCCTTCCACATAGCTGTGGCATATAGTTTTTATTGGTCTCAGCGATGCCAGAGGCAGTCAGCAGCAGATTTACCATGAACTTTCAGTTTTAGAGAGTTGAAAGTGAACAAGGCATGATGGAGAGTGTTTTGGGAGACTGCTTCTGGGAGTCTTTTTTTTTTTTTGGAGGGGGGTTGTGTTTTTTGTTTGTTTGTTTTTGTTTTTGTTTTTGTTTTTTGAGACAGGGTTTCTCTGTCTAGTCCTGGCTGTCCTCCAACTCATTCTTTAGACCATGCTGGCCTCGAACTCAGAAATCTGCCTGCCTCTGCTTCACAAGTGCTGGGATTAAAGGCATGCGCCACCATTGCCAGGCACAATATATCTTTAAAGTATTTATAATAGGGAAAACTATTCTTAGTGATTATCCGTCTATCTTTATGAACATTTTATGTTTGATGTTCTCTAGGTTCTATAGGAAGAAATGTCTAAATTTTGAATTATATCTCTTTAGTTTCCCTGGATTTTGCAAGATTATACTTCAGAAGAATTAGACCTAAATAACCCCACTGTATTTCGAGATCTTTCTAAACCAATTGGAGTAGTTAATGAAAAAAATGCCAAAGCTATGCGTGAAAAGTAAGTGCTTTTTAAATCTTTTGAGATACTCATTGTTTAAATTTGTACTGATCTCAATCAAAACAACTAAATGTTACCTTTTCTAAATTAAAAAGTATATGTTTAATTATTATTTTATGAGTATGATTGTCGTTTTCTAGCATATATATATGTATGTGTGTATATACACACACACACACACACACACACACACACATATGCACACTACATTTGTGCCTGCAGAGGTCAAAAGAGGGTGGATCTGGAAATGAAGGTACAGGTGCCTGTGAGCTGCTGTGTGGGTGCCAGGAATTGAATTCTGGTCCCCTGTGTAGCAGCTAGTGCTCTTAACTGTTATGCTATCTCTCCAGCCCCTAAACGCTTGGAAAAACATTTTTTTTAATGTGTATGTTTGTTTTGTCTGCTTGTATATCTGTTTACCACTTGCATGCCTGATATCGGCAGAGGCCAGAAATGGACATCAAATATGCTAGAACTGGGTCACAGAAGGTTGTGAGCCACACGTGGGTGCTTGGGACCAAACTCAGGTCCTTTAGAAGAGCAACATATGTTCTTAACCACTGAGCTATCTCTCCAGTTTCATGTTATCTTTTTTTAACAGAAGCTACTTAATTTTTTTTCAAATATCATTGTTTATATTCAGTGTACATATGTTACAGAAGGAAAATTTCACAGAAATATACAATGTATGTTCAATATATTTCACCATGATTGGCTCTTTTTGCCTTTCCTGTATCCTATTTTTCTAGACCATTTTGCCATATATTTACATATATTTACATATATTATACCAGATTTTATGTATCTGTATAAAATCTAGGAACTGTAATTGAGAGAACAAAAACAATGTTTATGAGACTACTTTCACTCTCTTAATATGACTTTTATAGTTACATTCATTTTTGTGTGCATGGCATAACTGCATTCTTCATTATGACTAAAAACAATCCTATTCTTTATCCATTCCTCTTGTTAGATACCTGTGTTGGTTCTGTAGCTTAGTTATTGTTAATAATGCTACAATAAACACTTATGTGCAAGTTGACTTGAAGTCATCTGGCTAAATACCCTAGAGTGGCATGAGTGGGTAGATCTCAGTTTAGTTTTGTGAGAAACTACCATAGTAAATTTCTATAGTGGATGTAATGAGAGAATTGACTTCTACGAATTGTGCCGTGTTCTCTTTGGTTTTTTGTTTGTTTGTTTGGTTGGTTGGTTGGTTTGGTTTGGTTTGGTTTTTTTTGTTGTTGTTGTTGTTTTTTCGAGACTGGGTTTCTCTGTGTAGCCCTGGCTGTCCTGGAACTCACTCTGTAGACCAGACTGGCTTTGAACTTAGAAATCCGCCTGCTTCTGCCTCCCAAGTGCTGGGATTAAAGGCGTGCACCACCACCGCCCAGCACCGTGATCTCTTTGTGTACACTGACACACAAGCTTTGACACATACATTAAACAAATGTGATTTTTTAAAAAAAAAAATAGAACTATATTTATAGTGCAGGAAGTGTGTAGCCCATTAAATAAGCACTTAGTTGTTATGTGTGAAACTTTGGTTTAATCCTCACTGTTGCTGAATAAAATTTTGTATATTATTCATTAGAATAAACATTAGTGCTGGCATGTTGACACAGTGGATAGAGGCTCTTGTCACCAGTTCTTACAGTCTGAATTTGAGTCCCAGAACCCAGATGAACAACTTCTGCAGGTTATCCTGTGACCTCGACATGTGCACCATGCATGCATGCATACACACTGAAGAGTAAAGTTATGGGACGCAGAGAGATGCCTTAGCAGTTAAGAACACATGTTCCAGGACTCCTAAGTTTGGTTCTGTTTACCTGCTTACTGTGGCACATAACAGCCCACAGCTGCAGCTCCAAGGCATCTGACATCTGGCCTCTAAGGGCACCTACATATACATGAAATTCACTTGCTTAACACACATACAAATACTTCAATAACAATAATAAAATAAATCTTTAAAAAGCAAAATCATAAATTATTAATTATTTGTCAGAAAGATTTTTTTTAATTTTTTTATTGGATGTTTTATTTACATTTCATGTTGTCCCCTTACCCCATCCCCCACCTACCCAGGAACCCCCTATCCCCTCACCCCTCCTCCTTCTTCTCTGTGGATGTAACCTCTGTCTACCCCCCCCCACTCCCACCTCCCCACCCTCAAAATTCCCACCCCCTGGGGCGTCCAGCCTTCATGAGGTCAAGGTTCTCTTCTTCCACCTATGCCCAGCAGGGCCCTCCACTCTTACGTATTCAGCTGAGGCCCTGGATCCCTCCCTAAGTGCTCCCAGGCTGGTGGTTTAGACCCTGGGAGCTGTGGTTGGTTGGTATTGTTGCTCTCCTCATGGGGCCACAAACCCTTTCAGTTCCAATGGCCTTCACTCTAACTCCTCCATTGGGAACCCCATTATCAGTTCAATGGCTAGTTGTGAGCATCTGCCTCTGAATATGTCAGACTCTTGAAGACCTCTGAGGAGACATCCATATCAGGCTCTTATCAGCATGCACTTCCTGACTTCCACATCAGCATCTACCTTTGGTGACTGCACATGGGATGGATACTCAGGTGGAATGGTCTTGAGACGGCCCCTCCTTCAGTTTCTGTCCCTCACTTTGTCTCCATATTTGCTCCCTTGAGTATTTTGTTGCTCCTTCTAAGAAGGACCGAATCAACCCCACTTGGTCTTCCTTCTTCATGAGCTTCTTGTGGCCTGTGAGTTGCATCTTGGGCATTTCAAGGTTCTGGGCTAATATCCAATAATCAGTGAGTGAATACCATATGTGTTCTTTTGTGATTGGCTTACCTCACTCAGGATGATAATTTCTAGTTCCATCCATTTACCTAGGAACCTCTCAAATTCATTGTTTTTAATAGCTGAGTAATACTCCATTGTGTAAATATACCACATTTTTTGAATCCATTCCTCAGTTGAAGGACATCTGGGTTCTTTCCAGCTCATGGCTATTATAAATAAGGCTGCTATGAACATAGTTGAGCATATGTCCTTGTTATATGTTCGAGCATCTTCTGGGTATATGCCTAGGAGTGGTATAGCTGGATCCTCAGGTAATGCTATGTCCAATTTTCTGAGGAACCGCCACACTGATTTCCAAAGTGGCTGCACCATCTTTCAGTCCCACCAACAATGGAGGAGTGTTCCTCTTTCTCCACACCCTCGCCAGCATCTACTATCACCTGAGTTTTTAATCTTAGCCATTCTGACTGGTGTGAGATGGAATCTCAGGGTTGTTTTGATTTGTATTTCCCTGACAACTAAGGATACTGAACATTTCTTTAGGTGCTTCTCGGCCATTCGAGTTTCTTCCGTTGAAAATTCTTTGTTAAGCTCTATACCCCATTTTTTAATAGGGTATTTTGGTTGTCTGGAGTCTAATTTCTTGAGTTCTTTGTATATATTGGATATTAGCCCTCTATCAGATGAAGGATTGGTAAAGATCTTTTCCCAATTTGTTGGTTGTCGTTTTGTCCTATTGACAGTGTCCTTTGCCTTACAGAAACTTTGCAATTTTATGAAGTCCCATTTGTCAATTCTTGATCTTAGAGCATATGCCATTGGTGTTCTGTTCAGGAACTTTTCCCCTGTGCCCAAGTATTCGAGGCTCTTCCCCACCTTCTCTTCTATTAGTTTCAGTGTATCTGGTTTTATGTGGAGGTCCTTTATCCACTTAGACTTGAGCTTTGTACAAGGGAATAAGAATGGATCAATTTTCATTCTTCTACATGTTGTCCTCCAGTTGAACCAGCACCATTTGTTGAAAATGCTGTCCTTTTTCCACTGAACAGTTTTAGCTCCTTTGTCAAAGATCAAGTGACCATAGGAGTGTGGGTTCATTTCTGGGTCTTCAATTCTATTCCATTGATCTTCCTGCCTGTCTCTGTACCAATACCAAGTAGTTTTTATCACTATTGCTCTGTAGTACAGCTTGAGGTCAGGGATGGTGATTCCTCCCGAAGTTCTTTTATTGTTGAGAATAGTTTTCGCTATCCTGGGTTTTTTGTTATTCCATATGAATTTGAGAATTTCCTTTTCTAACTCTGTGAAGAATTGAGTTGGGATTTTAATGGGGATTGCATTGAATCTGTAGATTGCTTTTGGCAAGATGGCCATTTTTACTATATTAATCCTGCCAATCCATGAGCATGGGAGATCTTTCCATCTTCTGAGATCTTCTTCGATTTCTTTCTTCAGAGACTTGAAGTTCTTGTCATACAGGTCTTTCACTTGCTTGGTTAGATTCACACCAAGGTATTTTATATTATTTGCAACAATTGTGAAGGGTGTCATTTCCCTAATTTCTTTTGCAGTCTGTTTATCTTTCATGTAGAGGAAGGCTACTGATTTGTTTGAGTTGATTTTATAACTTTGCTGAAGTTGTTTATCAGGTTTAGGAGTTCTCTGGTGGAGGTTTGGGGGTCACTTAAATATACTATCATATCATCTGCAAATAGCGATATTTTGACTTCTTCCTTTCCTATTTGTGTCCCTTTGATTTCTTTTTGTTGTCTAATTGCTCTGGCTAGGACTTCCAGGAGTATATTGAATAGGTAGGGGGAGAGTGGGCAGCCTTGTCTAGTCCCTGATCTTAGTGGGATTGCTTCAGGTTTCCATTTAGCTTGATGTTGGCTACTGGTTTGCTTTCCGAAAGATTTTTATATCAAGGAAGTATATTAGATACTACAGAAATGTTTTCTAATCTCTATTTCAAATATTTTCTATAGTCATCATATGTTACTATTGTATTATGCAAAACGTATGTGGCTGGAGAGATGACTCAGTAGTTGAGAGCATCGCTGCTCTTGCAAAGCACTTGGATTCAGTCTCTGTTACCCAAATGGCTGCTCACAAGCCTCTGTAACCCCAGGTGCAGGGGAGCCTACTCCCTCTCTGGCCTACACTGATACTAGACATGCAAGTGGTGCATAGACATTCAGGCAAACACCTATATGTGTAACATTAAGTAAAAAGTATCTTAAATGCTTCAAAAGCTTTTTTTTTTTTTTACTGATATTTCACTGTTTGTGAAACATTCTTAGGTATTAACTTTTTTTCCTATAGTTATATGTGGGGATGCAGATACTTAAATAGGAAAGCATATGATTAAGATTGACTTTTTAAAAATACTCTGCTATAAGCTAACCAGTACAGATTTCGACTCTTGTATTACCATTTTGTTATGTTTATGAACTTCACTTTTTCTTAAAGGTACGAGAATTTTGAAGACCCGATGGGAACTATTGATAAGTTTCACTATGGTACTCACTATTCCAATTCTGCAGGCGTCATGCACTATCTCATCCGTGTGGAGCCGTTCACTACCCTCCACATCCAGCTTCAGAGTGGACGGTATGCTCGCAGTCAAAAACCATTTTCCTCTGATTGTAAAGCTGAGAACTATTCACTTTGATGTCATGTTCTGAATGATGGAGTCATGGCTTTTAAATTATCTACTAGGATTTAATTTAGAGAAAATCAGCCAGAGTAGTTTAAGAACAGCCCATTCAAATTGATTCATATATAAGACATTTGAATATGACTTTTTCCACTATTATTCTAGTGTACATTTGCAATCCTTACCATTTTGAGAAATCAATCAGATGTTTATCATTAGATATTAGACCAAGTATGTTGCCCAGTGGCTGAGAACTTGTCTAACATGTGCAGGGTCATGGGTTCAATTCCAGGTAATTACTCCCTTCTCTCATTACAGAACTAATGTGATTTAGAGCTAAGTCTGAGCTGTCCATAGATAGGCAAATGTCAGTAGCACTACAGTATTCCTAAAAATATTTCTTCTTAAAGACTCGATAGAGGAAGTAGTTGGGAATTCATAGCAGCCATTTTATTTATTTTTTTATTTTTTTGGTTTTTTGAGACAGAGTTTCTCTTTATAGCCCAAGCTGTCCTGGAACTCACTCTGTAAACCAGGCTGGCCTCAAACTCAGAAATGCGCTTACCTCTGCCTCCCAAGTGCTGGGATTAAAGGTGTGCGCCACCACTGCCCGGCTAATAATAATTTTTTATTTTATGTGTATTGGTGTTTTGCCTGCATGTATGTCTATGTGGGAGTGTCAGATCTTGGAGTTATACGTATGTGAGCCGCCATGTGGGTACTGGATATTGAACCCAGGTCCTCTGGAAGAGCAGTCCTTAACCACTGAGCCAGCCCCCTCTTAATTACAATAAACCTTGGTTTTTCAAGAAGAGATTCAGTCTCTAATATTATTAAGCATCAATAAAATGTTGCATTGACATGAAATTATTTTCCTTCATAAGATACAGGAAGTATAACTAGGTTTATTTTTAAATAATTGTATGAAAAAATGTGATTTCACAAAGCTTTAAAATGACTTGTTTGTTCTTATAAGATACCATCAGGAAAGTACAAACAACCAAGACAGTCCACTAAGGAACTTGTATTTAGAATATATTCAGAATCCTTACAACCATATAATATAAAACTGAATTTAAAAATGGAAAAAAGTCTGAATAGACATGTGTCTAACACATACAAAGATGTGCAATATCATTAGCCATCAGGGGAATTCAAGTCAAAATCACAAAGAGAGATCATTTCCCAGACTATAATTAATCATTTGTTAAAAATAAAAAAGATAAAGCTACTGTTTGAAGATTGTGATGTAAAACTAGAAAATAAAGGTAGTAGAATTTTAAAATAGTGATCTTTATAGAAAACAATCTGGCAATTATCTAAAACATTAAACATGAAATTATTATCACTAGCAATTCTGCTTCTAAATTTCTACCCAACATGATTGAAGACATAAAAATTCGTGCACCTATGTTAGTAATAGCATTTCTGCGAATGGATAAATGAGTCCAACATCAGTAGACATTTACAAAAGAGTCAAATTTATGGATGGGGATGTAGCTCAGGATAAGGTGTTTACCTAGCAGGCCTAGTGCTCTGGGTTCGAGCCCACCATTGTGTAAACCTGATATGAAGGCACAGTAGTCCCAGCATCTAGGAGGTGGAGGCAGGGTTTGAGGTCATCCTCTTCTACATAGCAAGGTCAAGGCTGAATTACATGAGGCTCAGTCTTTTAAAAAAAATCAAATTAGTCATTAGTATCAATTCACCATTTTAGACTAAAGTCCATAGCTTAATTTTTCCATGAACATAGCATCAAGAAAAATCAAGGGAATGTTACGTTTTTTGTAATTAAGGAAAACACAATCCAATTAGATAATTACTACTTGAGGTTTTTCCAGCTGTCACGCCTATAATGAAACCTAAATCAACTAATTAAAATTTATGGGCTGAGGAAATGGCTCAGTTGATTGCCTGCCATACAAAGCATGAGGACCTGAGTTTGGATCTCCAGCACCCCAGTAAAAATGTGTGCTCAGGACTGGGGACAGGCTGATCCTCAGAGCTCACTAGCCAGCCAGTCTAGCGTGAGACTAGTCTAGGTGAGATCATGAGATCCTGGTTCAGTAAGAGATCTTATCTTAAAATGTTAAAGTAAGCTAGTAACACATGTAAATAATTTACAGATGCTTAGCCACAATACTATTTCTCTACTTTTACTCTGGCTTTTAGTGTAAGAGTTTCTGCTAATGATGTATTAACGATTAGTTTGAAGCATTTTTGTAAATCTCTTAACAAAAAATATAAATACGATTATATTTAGAATCATTTTTGAACTCAGATTTTTTTTCTTTTACAAACAAGCTCTCATCAGGTAGCCTACCTTGCCCCAGAACTCACTCTGTATGCTAGTCTGGTCCTGTAGTTGGAATAGTCCTACCTCAGCATTCAATTTCTGGGATTTTAAGGCATTAAACTCTGCCCACTGTATACTTTGATTTTTTAAATATATAATTCACATTCACTTTTTGTAATAAATTTACTCAGCAAATTTTGTGTTTTTAACATTCTTTTGTGGTTCAACACAGAGGCCCTGAGCATTCCAGGGAAGCCCTCTACCAGTGTCCCACATATTCAACATACAGCTTTGATTAAAAGTCTTTAAAGATTATATTTAATTAACGTGAAATTGTGTTCTAGTGAGATTTGATTTTCTTTTTTCTTTTTTTTGTTTTGTTTTGTTTTGTTTTTTTGTTTTTTTTTGAGATTTGATTTTCAATTAGTTTAAACAAAACAATATTTTGTTTTGGCAATTATGATAGTATTAACTCCTGACAACAAACTATGAATTATAGATGGTTATCATAAAGATAAAAGTTGTTTTCAGATATTAAATAGGAAGGTTAAGAAAGACCAGCTGCAGTCATTGGGAAGTTTGAAGACAGCGTCGATGTTCTTGATGTGCGCATCTTGTTTTCATCCAGTAAATTCTTGTCTTTTGTTCCCACGTGCAGGTTTGACTGTGCAGACCGGCAGTTCCACTCCATCCCTGCTACCTGGCAAGCACTTATGGATAATACATATGATGTAAAAGAACTTATTCCTGAATTCTTCTATTTCCCAGAGTTTCTAGAAAATCAAAATGGTAAGAAATAAGGGATATAAATTTTTATTCAACAGGTTCCAATTAAAAATACAAAAAAGCAGTTTTAAGGACTTTTTTTGTAATATTGCATACTATATTTACAGTCGGTTTTGTGTGTCGATTACTCAGTGACAAAATTTAACTTACACCAGGGAAGTGACATACAGAGCCAAGTCTTACTTTCCAGAGCCGTGGGTGATGCAGGAAACTAAGAGAACTTAGCTATGAGCAGTCTTTACTAGAGACACCAAACTGTACTGTACACTGCCATTACAAGTCTTTCAAGTAACTGGACCTAGGTCAGTGAGCTGATCCATGAGCAAGCAAACCTATGTTTTCAGAGTATCATTACAACAGACTTACCAGTTTATTTATGTGTTACCTATCTATAACTGCTTTCAGAAATTAATGGTCAACTTGAGTAGTTACAAGAAATCGTATAACTCACAAAGATAAAAATGTCCTTCTACTGACTCTTTATTTGGAATGTACAAAAGGTGCACATTTAAAATAATGGCTAAGTCATTCCAGCTTTTGAAAAAATTAGGTTTTTTGAGTAAAGATGCATGGTTAATTATTACATCTTAGAAATATTCAAGTCTTTTTTCTGTAGTTATTTGGCTTTTTTTCTTTCCTTTTTTTTTTCTTTTCTTTTTTATTCCTTGTGGGATGCTAGAGATTGAACTCAGAGACTTGCACAGTTTGCGAACACTCCACAACCAAACTGCTTCCCTAGCCTTACATTTGTTTTTAGAACACAACTATCTATGCAAGATTTTGTTTTATGTTTGATGTAGGTTGTTAATCAGCTATTAGACTGTAATTTACTAAAGCCGTTGGGTATCTGGGAGAAGAGTGATTGGGCTGAATTTGAATAGAAAACTTAAAGATATTCTTTGCTTTGCAATGCATTATATTTATTGGAGCTGATTGCTGCCTTCAGCCCTGTGACCTCATGATCCCTATGTATAACTGTAATTATCTTAATGACCTGATATAGGAACTTGGGCAGAAGATAAATGTATCATCTAATAGAATAGCAATAAAGATCAACACAAAACTGCACAATAAGGTCTTAGGGTTTGGTTTTTGGGTTTTTTGTTTTTTGTTTTTGTTTTTGTTTTTTCCGAGACAGGGTTTCTCTGTGTAGTCCTGGCTGTCCTGGAACTCACTCTGTAGACCAGGCTGGCCTCAAACTCAGAAATCCCCTGCCTCTGCCTCCCAAGTGCTGGGATTAAAGGCGTGCACCACCACTGCCCAGCTGTTTTTTTTTTTTTTAATTCAAGTTGAGAGATAATTTCTTTTCAGATTGTATAGTAGTACCATGGCCAATTTCTTTCTGTATGCTCACTCTGTTACTCCAAGTATTTTGGCTTTGTTTTATGGCTAATTCTTCTCTTTGTTATAAATAATTGAAGTAGCTTGAAACTACAGCATCTTACCAAAATGTAGATATAGATCTGTTGTTTCCTTTCTTAAGTACAGCTCCTGTAACTTCATTCTCTACAACTGTGTCCTCTACCACTTAGCTAATCACATGGAATAGGTATGACATTCAGGGCAGAAATGAATGTGCAAATGAGGCGAAGGTTCTGCAATGAATTCGAAGGGAGACAACTTTGAAGTGGACAAAACATTAGCTGCCGCACAGTGATCACCCATCAGAAAGCCTGGCACCCTGTGGTCCTTGTCACTTGGACCTTTACACCTAACCTAGACTTAGGAAATGTAGTATTCAAGGCAGCACAATAGTACTTCAAGACTGGTATTTTAAGGCGTTTTTTTCTTCTCATAGTGTATGAACAAGAAAACCTCATATGTGGGAAAGTTCTGTCACATGTCATAGTCGAGCTGTAATAGCAAGTGTTTTGTGAAGTATAATACGTATTCTTCCATAAAGCAAAACTCTCAGTGAGTGAGTTCAAGATATAAGTTACACCATAACTTATGAACCACATTTTATAAATTAACTAGTAAAAGGACCATTATTCATTTTTATGTGAGGATAGTTAATATTTTATTTTAATCCAATTAAAGTGTGGATTGCTGTGCCTTCACTGTTCTTTTTTCTTTTTCATTTGCATGTGTGTGTGCATTTCACATGCACTTACATGTGGAGGAGTGTTTTGTATATGTATGCGAGTGTGTGTGCGCACACACACACTTTTAAATACACCCATGCATTTATATGTAGAGGCCAGAAGTCACTAGCTTTAATCCCACGTCACATTACTTTTGGAGATAAGCTGCTTTGGGTACCCAGCAAGCCTCTAGATTTCTTCTGTCTTCACCCTTAGCTCTGCGGTTACTGTCATGAGCCGCTGTATCTGGCTTTGCATGGGTGATGAAGATGCAGATTCAGATACTTATGATCGAATAGCTAAAATTTACCCGCTGAGCATCTCCCAGGTTTCCCTTCCCGGCTTTTCTAAGAAAAAGGGTTCTTACTTGATATGCCTTCTAAAAATGAATTCAAAAATGGTATATTATTTAATTAAAGTATATTGCAATAGACAAATGAATTAATTTTTTTCTAGTTATATGTTCTCTTTTATATTTGTTTTACATCATTTTTAAATAGAAAATGTTCTGATTTTTTTTTTATGTGTCTTAGAATTTAATTTGGGTCATTTACAAGTTTCCAAAGAACTGGTAAACGATGTTATTCTTCCAAAATGGGCTAAGTCAGCTGAAGATTTTATTTATAAACACAGAAAGGCTCTGGTAAGATTTCTGTTGAATCACTACCACGTATTATGAAATACAGTTTTGTTTTTCAAAGATAAGTTAAAGTGTACTTTTTTCTAGATTAGTTTGTTACCTGTTGTATATTACTGTTCTGGAAAGTACAATGTGGTAATTTAATTTTAGGATATAAGTATTATGATACCATTCATGACTATGTAACAAAATATAGGTTTCCACTTTTCCTTTCTTTAATAGTTTATAATGGCATATATGCAAATCTATTATAAGTATTGAGATAAGTGTCATAAGTTTTTTATATCTGGTATATAGGAAATCAAATTTCCTATTTAATTAAGTTTTACATATTTTTTCTTGAATTGAAAAGTTTTAGACTACTATTACAAAAGAAACTACCACACAAATGTGTCCCGCCTTTCTCATTAACTCTTCTAGATTCTGGAGAATGGTAGTAGCTTTTTTTGTGTTGTTTTCTTTACCCATTAGATTTGGGGACATTTTGGGATTTCTGATTTTTGGATTAGGGATGATCCTCTACAAATATTTCAGATCCGGGAGAATCTGCAGTCTGAATTGTGTCTAGTAGCAATTAGGTTACAAGGTGGCTGAAGCCTTAATAATGTATGACTTTGAGGCCAGCCTTAACAACATGGTGTGAACTTGTCTGAAACAAAACAAACAGCAGTTAGCAAAATCTCAAATACTTACAGCCCTAATCATTTTGCATAAGGGAAATTCAGCCTATATTAGCATTCTAGTTCTCTGCATGTCTGCTATATGGATTGATATTCTGTTTACCCATCTGGTATAATTTAATGTTTTGCAGTTTACATATTTGTTTCAAATCACTTGAGCATGAGTACATTTTTTCAATTTTTCCAAAAGATAAACCAAGTTCCTAATAAAAGCAGATTAATCCCTTTAAAATTTTAATAGTGTTTAGGTAAATTTCCAACTTGGAATTGAGGAAATAGTGACAGTTAGTTTAACATTGATAATTGTGTTACTGTCTGGCAGCACTCCATTTACCAAGCAGCAGTCTCCTTTTACAAAAATGTGTACAAGTATTTTTGCCTGCATATACGTCTATCCACCATGTGTGTGCAGTGCTCAAGGAAGCTAGACAAATGGGTCAGATATCCTGGAACTGGAGTTACAGGTGGTTGTCGGCCTTCAAGTGGATGCTGGGCATCAGACATGCTCTTGTTAGAAGGAAAGCCAGTGTTCTTAACTCTGGCTCCTTGCCCTTTAAAAAGGATGAATTTAGATGATAGTTGGAAGATACTTACATTAAGAATTAAATTTGTTCCCTTTCTAGGAGTCTGAATATGTTTCTGCTCATCTTCATGAATGGATAGATCTGATTTTTGGCTACAAACAGAGAGGGCCAGCTGCAGTGGAGGCACTCAATGTCTTCTATTACTGTAGTTATGAAGGTACAAGCCGAAATACCTCATCCTTTCAGTTGGAAGGTCACAAAACTGCCATTATTTCAGTTTTAGAATAGAAGTTTATGATTTTAATACTATGTATGTATGAGTGGTTCTCTATGTGTGTGTGTGTCTGTGCATGTGTGTGTGTGTGTAAGACAAATTATAAATGGTAATTATTATATGCTTTTGGTTTCTTGTATGGGATTTTCTGTTTAATTAAGACAGAGTCTCTCTTCATAGCCTTGGCTGTCCTTGAACTCACTCTGTAGACCACGCTGGCCTCGAATCCACAGAGATCTGTCTGCTTCTGCCTCCCAGGTTTGGGATTAAAAGTGTGTGCCACTACCACCTGGCATCAAGTCTTCATTGAATATTATAAATTTTATTTTATTTTTAATGAACTTTGAAAGAAGGCATTTAAATTATTAACATTAGCTCAGCATCCAAACTGATTTTTGAGAGCTTTGGGCAGAAAACTGTCTCTCTTTAAATCTTTGTTGTGTGTATATGTACATGATATATGTGTGGATGTACAAGGAGGCTGACAGGACACATCAGGATGTCCTCCTCAGTAGTTCCTCGTGCATACATATACAAACACATACACACAAATAAAAATATTTCCTGTTTTCAGAAAATTACTTTCTGGTGATATAAGTTGAAGACTCATATTTTGTTTAAAAATGTGTCAATCATTCCTTGATATATTAATCAGTGTCATGCAGATTTATTTTTTTCTCAATAGTGAGTTTGTGATTTCTTGTTTTAGGTGCTGTAGATCTTGATGCCTTAACAGATGAAAAGGAAAGGAAAGCCTTAGAAGGGATGATTAATAATTTTGGGCAAACACCTTGTCAGCTGTTAAAGGTAAATAATATAAGTTATTGATGCCTTTGAGCAACAATTCTCAATCTTCCTAATGATGGGACCCTTTATTACATTTCCTCATGTGGTGGCCACCAACCATAACATTATTTTTGTTGCTGTTTCATTACTGTAATTTTGCTACTGTTAGGAGTTGTAAAGTACATATTTTTGAGATAGAGGCTTGCCAAAAGGGTTGCGACCCACAGATTGAGAACCACTGGCCTAGAGACTGCTGTTTCTAAGTATTCTGAAGTTTGAAGAATAGTAGAGTCAAGTTCTAGCATATGTAATTGGTAGGGCTTGATTTATATGATTCCATTTACCTTCTATTAAGCTATATTGTGCTTATGTAATCGATACTCCTGATGCAATGTATTAAGTAGAGGGACTTTACATGATATCTAGAATTTCTAAGGGGTTGTATTGCTCTTATTTTTTTAAAGATTTTAGTGATTTAAAACTTGGAGAATCATTGTTCAGAATTTAAGCAAAAATTACATTAAATTGTCACTTAAAAATAAATAGATTTAATTATTCCTAGTTTAAGTAACAAAAAACCTGAAGTTAGATCCAGTTTTGAAGCAAGATGTCTTGGTATATATCTGTATTTCCAGATACTCAAGAGGCTGGGATGGGAAATTATGAATTCTAGGGCACCTTGGGTAACATCTCAAAAAGTTCCCTCATGTAAAAGTTTCCCTATGTACTCACAGTGCTATGGATATGATCCCTAGCACTAAGGGCAATGAGGATCTCCATTTATATAGCAAATTATTCATGTCACAAAAGAATTTATATTTATTCAAAAGCTGACTATTTTAAATTTTTGTGTATGTCTGTGTGTGTGTCTGTGTGTGTCTGTGTGTGTCTGTGTATATGCATGTAAATTTGGGGACCAAAGGTCAACATCTGGTGTCCTTCACAAGAACTGTCTGCTTTGTTTTTTAAGATAGAATCTCTCACTGGGAGCTGAAGTTTGATAGTCCGAAGTTGACTAGTGAGTCCCAGGGTTGCTTCTGTCTTCACCTCCCCAGCACTGGGCCTACAAGTGCACAACACACTACTCAGTTCCTTACATAGATGCTGAGGATCAAGTTCAGGGCTTCATGCTTACACAACAAGCGGCTTAATCACTGAGCTATCTCCCCAACTTTCTATTTCTGAGAGAATAAAAACTGAATAGCAAATACAGTATATCATTAAAACTGTCTTTATGTAGAGACTCCTTCTATATATAAAATATTAAGCTACTGAAATCATTCTATAAATGGCACTTATTACTCATAGCCTAAACCCAATGTTAAGACTCTAATTATAAAGTATGTACATTATATAATCAAATTATTAAATATTGCTGTTTCCTCTTACTGGTATCAGTAATTTTTTATCTTCCTAATCCTAATTGCTACTGATTCATAGATATCAGTCCACTATTTTAGAATCGATAATCTTTGTTAACATGAATTTAAGGATAAAGAAAAATAATAATATCCCATTAATAAATATATAATTTTTAATTTAAACATTGTGAATTATTCCCTAACTTCCATGTGGAGTAATGATACAATTATCTTAATTTTTAAAATTAATTCAACCAAGACCAGGATGATGGCTCAGTGGATAACAGTACGTGCTGTGCTAGTGTGGTCACCTGATGCTTCAATCTTGCATGGCTTTAGGGATTGACCTAACTGCCTAGGGAGGGGGATCAAGAAATGATAGACACACAGAAAAAGTGAAATTGGATGGGCCATGCTCTCTGATGGAGAGGCCACAGCAACCTAGAAATTCAGCCATTTTATTTTATACATGTGACTTGAGGAGGCAGTTTATTTATTTTCGGTAAGAGGCCTTTATAGGAGCAGTCTCAGGCTGTAATAATCCAGGAGAGGAAACTGTTTTCTGCACACATTGTCATCATCTGAGCATGGACCAGGGTAAGGCTTTGCCATGTTGTGAGGCATTAGGCCCTTGGCAAGACTGTGTCCTGTCAATCATATGTATTCACTCATGACTTCTTTCTCTCCTTACATATTCATTCGTGCTTTCTCCATCCCCATAACCTAATTTAGTCCTTGGTACTCACACGAATAAGGGAGAGGGTCACATGCAGTGGGGCCAATATGTAATCTTGAACTCCAAGATCCCCCTGCCTCTGCCTCCCTAGTGCTGGGAATAAAGGTGTGCACCACCACTGCCTGGCTTCAGCTATACTACTACTTCTTTTTGTTGTTGTTGTTGCTTTACAAAAACGCAGATGCCTCATTAGCACAGTAGGTAGAGAGTCAGTCTCATGGTTTCACAAGAACTCTGATTTATTTGTGGGTAGGACAGTTATTCATGCTTATAGAGGTCAGAGGACAACCTTGAGTGTCATTTCTCTGGCACTGTCAGTGTTTGGTGGAGGCAATCTTTTACTAGCTTAGAACTTATCAAGTAGGCTAGACTGGCTAGCCACCTCCCCTGACATTTTAAAAAGCAAGAGTTCTGTGAATTGAACTCAGGTCCTCATGTTTGCTTCAGAGCAAGTACTTTACTAACTGAGCCACTTCCACAGTACTAAAAATTACAGTGGGGCTGAGGGTCTAGCTTAGTCCAGGAATGTTTACTTACCATGTAGAAAATACAATTCAGTTTTCATCACCACAAACACTGAAGAGAAAAATCAGACAGGGTTAAAACCGTCAGCCTGTAATTTAAAATAGGGGTTGTTTGTTTGTTTGTTTGTTTGTTTTAAGTATTAAAGCTACACATTTAAGTGTTACATCTATTGTCCACAATCTAATATTTTGTAATAGGCACAAAAGAACCAAAGTCCACCTCCCTGATTTTGTTTTAATTTTTCTCTGAGACAGAGTCTTCTATGTAGCTCACACTGCCTTGGAACTTTCTGTACCTGTCTTCAAACTCAAACTCTTCCTGCCATAGTCTTCTGAGCATTTGGATAGTCAATATCAGTGATTCAGTGGTAGGATTCTCAACTGCAATAGGCAATAGGATTGCAGGTGTACCTTACCAGAGCTGGCAAGAATCCCTTTTAGAAAGACACCTTTTACACATTTTTAATTGTGTCCTTGAAATAGTAATACGATTTTTAATATATTTATCAGTATATTTAATTAACATTAATATACTCAATTTTTTGTCTCTGACATGAAAAATAAGAAAATAATTACTTGTAAACTATACAGTCATGTCCATAACTTGATTTGATTGTCCATAATATAATTAGTATTTACATTTTGATGAGCCTTGCTTCAGGAATTAAATACTATACTACATTATAAAGTTTGAATGTTAAGTTCTTCATTAATTTTACCAAATATTTATTAAACATCTGCCAAGTTTGATATACTTCTGAGTGCTTAAAAATCCAAAGATTAATAAAATTCATGGATAGCCGGGCAGTGGTGGCGCACGCCTTTAATCCCAGCACTTGGGAGGCAGAGGCAGGCGGATTTCTGAGTTCGAGGCCAGCCTGGTCTACAGAGTGAGCTCCAGGACAGCCAGGGCTATACAGAGAAACCCTGTCTCGAAAAACCAAAAAAAAAAATAAATAATAAAAAAATATAATAAAATAAAATTCATGGCTGCCTTTATGGGGATCTCTAGCTAGGCAAGTGAGATGACTCAGTGGGAAAAGGTACCTGCTGCATCAGTCTCCCATATGTCAGCATGGTAGAAGGAAGAGAATTGACTCCTCCAAGTTGTCTGTTGACCTCCACACATGCACTGTGACATAAGTATGTCCACATATACACCGAAAACAATAAAATGTTTACTTTTAAGAGAATTTTTAATAGGCTAGATGGATAAGATTTATCATGAATAACCAATGACTACTTTAAAGAAAAAAAAAAAAACTAAGAAATCATGAATAATTGGGGAGAGAGCATGAAAAAATCATTCTGACCTGGAAATTTAGGAGTGCTATGAATAAGAAAAACTTTAAAGTGGAACTGAGATGTTCATGGAAGAGGATGAATGGTAAGTTTGCTGGGGGATTAGACTAAGTCATGGCCTATAGTTGTTAACAGTGCATAATATGAATTCTATTATAGCACAATCCACTGTGTATGAGTGAATACCGACATGCTTTCATGTAACTCTGAGATTTTTTTCTTGAAATTATTTTGAAGGAACCACACCCTCCAAGATTATCAGCAGAAGAAGCCATTCAAAAGCTGACCAAAACAGAAATTTCAACCCTAAACCTCTTTCAACACCTCCCTGAGCTGAAGTCATTTTTCATAGAGGTAATAACCCAGCTTAGTAATATCAGAGACCTTTCTTCAGTTTTAAGTATTTCAATTAATTTGTGTGATTGTATACATATTTGTACATGTATGTGCAGGTGTGCTTTATCCATGCCTATAGTTGTACTGATTATTTGCTGTGTGTGGAAAGCTAAAGGTAATTTTCAAGTATCTTCCTCTGTTGCTCTTTCTACCTTATTTTTTAAAGACATAGTCTCTGACTAAACCAAAACCTTGCTGTTGTGGATAAGCTGGCTGGCCAGTGAGTCCCAGGGTTCTTCATCTCTTACCATGTACCTTCCCACCACCAGTGCTGGGTTATAGGTGTGTACTGCCCCACTCAGCTCTTTTTTTAAATAGGTTCTGGGGATCCTAACACAGTTTACTAATTAAACCATGTTCTCACTCAAGTTTATTCAATTTTAATGGAAGAAAATGTTGTAATATGATCTTTAAATCAGAATTGTGTGTACTTGTGTCTGCCTGAGTTTATGTGCATCGTATATGCAGGTGCCTGGGGAGACTAGACACAATATATTCCTGGAACACAGATGGTTATGAGCTGCCTGATACGGGTACTGAATTCAAACCTGCATCTTCTGCAAGAGCTCTTAACCAAGCCAGCTCTCCAACCCCAGTCTTGGATTTTTAAATCACTTTCGTTGTAAGCTTTTCTTTGCTGCTAAGTGGCATTCTGAACTTTTTTTCTTAGTTTGCTTTCTCTACAAGTAAGAACAAATAACTTAATTCAAAGTACTTATTAGGAGTAGGTCATGGTATACATGCCTTTAATCCCTACACTTGGGAGGCATAGGCTGGTGGATCTCTTAAATTCAAGGCCAACCTGGTCTACATAGAGAATTCTAGGCCAGCAAGGATTACATAGTGAGACTCAATTTCTTGTAACAGTTGAAATGGTGTGCAGAGTAGTGATATTTTAATAGTTCTTAATTGTCTGCTCATCTATAAAATATGTCCCAATGCATGAGGTTATTAATTGATAGTGTTAGAAGGAATAGTCAAGTAAAATACTAGTTAATGCTGTAACTGAAAGAGTACCCTTGTAACCGGGCTTTTACTTATTTTATTTGGTTCTGTTTCCTATCACCCTTCTCCACCTTTATTCTACACTTCCAGCCCCCAACATTAGGTGGGAGAGAAAGAAGGATAGAGAGTAAAGGAGATATCAATCTAGTTAGACTACTTATTGCTGATTTGGGGCATCGAGTTCCGTGAGGCAAGGCCAGTTTCATAACAAACAGCAACAACAGCATCAAACTAGCAACAACAGCAGTAGGAGGAGCTACAGCCAGCTGCCTGTCTCAGGGCTCTGGCATTTATACAGCCTCTTAAGAGCCCCCAGAATTCCAAATGTAAACTCTCTTCAGCTGGCAAAATCATGCCCCAGCCAGAGCATGAGACAAATCATAGTTAGCTGCTGTGGACAGTCTGAAGCAGCCTCATATCCCACACCTAGAATCTTAAAAAAAACAAAACCAAAAAAACCTTATGCACATAATATTTTTATGTTTTTAAAAAACCAAAATTTTTACTACATACCCTTAAATTTCAGTTAAAAATCCATATGTATACATATTAAAATACTATTACTAGTTCAGAATGGGATTATAAAATGCATGTGAACTTTTAAATTTAGTTTTGACATAATATTCTATAGAAGAAATACTAAAAAGTTAATAAATTCATAATAATTTAGAAACTTGCATAAAACAAGCAGCCTCTTGTGCTTATTTTATGCACGTTTCTAAATTATTAGAAGCTGGCAAACCTCACGAATTAGACTGAGTAATTTTGTCAGTAAACTTAGGTGTTTAGACACCAAAATTGAGGGTGTTACATAAGATACATATATAATCATTTTTTTAGTTTACCATCTTCAGAAGAGGCAGTGAACTAAATTTGTTCCACGGATTGTGGTTTGCAAAATCCTGTGTCATGTAATGTGTTTCTGAGGTCCAGAATACTATGACTTTTCCTCCAGTAAACAGTAAGTTGCACTCTTTTTTTTGTTTGTTTTTGTTTTTGTTTTTCGAGACAGGGTTTCTCTGTGTAGCCCTGGCTGTCCTGGAACTCACTCTGTAGACCAGGCTGGCCTCGACCTCAGAAATCCACCTGCCTCTGCCTCCCAAGTGCTGGGATTAAAGGTGTGCACCACCACCGCCCGGCTGCACTCTTATTTTTGTATAGGTATATTTTCACATATTCTTTTTTTTTTCTTTTATTGATTGATTTATTTTTTTTTAATTTCTTTTTTTTTTGAACATGAAATGCTTTTTTATAGCATGTTTACAAGGGGAGGGGGTAAGAGGGTCCAGGTGGTGGAAAAGTACAAAATCTTCTTGGCCTGTGCCTTGAAACATGTCATGGTCTATATGGTACACTGTCTTGAATTATGATCTACCTGCAGTTCTTCAGAAGATATGGTACACTGCTTGAGTTATGGTCTCCCTGCTATTCTTAAGAAGACATGGTACTCTGCTTTGAGTCTATCTGCAGTTGCTAAGCAGGATCTTGCAGTTGCCAAGCTTCAGAGGACATTGTGCAGGTGGGGAAAGGTAGGGGGTAAGGGTAAGGGCGAGGGTCCTGGCTTCTGGCATCTCCCCTTCTCTGTTTAGTTAGAGAAGGCATCTTATGTTCAATCCCAACTATGTGAGTTTTGAATTTGGATGTCTAATTATGGGGGGTCTTAGACAAGTTCACAACCCCAAAACACTGATGTGAGACGAGTCACATCGATGGTCGAAGGCTTTAGGCTGTCGACGATGGGCAACGTCAAGGGACTCTGATGTGGGTGAAAGGAGGGTGAGAGCCCTGTCTTAGGCCATGTAGGCTGCACCCACTCCCATCACCACGCACTCCTTTTCGGCTGCATTGGGTGGGCCCCTGGGAAGTGGACCTACAATAATCCCGTCATTGGGCTAACTCACAGCCATCCTAGTCTCTTGTAAATGTTCAAGTTACCAACCATTTGTCAGTTTGGGGTGTAATATTGTCATAAAGGAAGGCTCCCCAATGTTAGAGGCCATATCAAGGGTGGCCTTGGTTTAGGAAAAAGCCAATTTTTGTTGTGGTGATCAAGAGGCCAAGCTCTCTAGCGAGAGAAATGAGGGCAAAGCCAGGCATACCAGGAACCCTTCTGGAGGGCGTGGAAGTCTAGGGGTCGACCGTAGTGGGAGGCAGGGGAGCTGACAGCTGTGTCAGTCTCCTGCGGAGTCACTTCTGGATCCTCTGCAATTTTCAGCTGATGGTAATGAACTTCAACTGCCTTCTTGATGGCAGCATCAACCTGGTTCCGTGGACAACAGGTCACGGGCGATGATCTCTGTCTTGCTCAATCTTGATGTCATGCGCACATCCTCTCAATGAGGGTCCGTCCGGATGGGTCCGTGCCTCGAGCCCCACGTCTGGGTGCCACTTGACCCGACCGGCGGGTCCTGGTTATTCGTGGGGGCAAGGAGGACTGCAACCTGCTATTCTTCAGAAGATATGGTACACTGCTTGAGTTATGGTCTCCCTGCTATTCTTCAGATGATATGGTACACTGCTTTGAGTCTATCTGCAGTTGCCAAGCCGGATCTTGCAGTTGCCCAGCTTCAGGGGACCTTGTGCAGGTGGGAAAAGGTAGGGGGTGAGGGTAAGGGCGAGGCTCCTGGCTTCTGGTCCATCTGGGTTAGAACTTCTAATAGCAGGCATCACGGGTGATTCAATTTTACCTGGGATGCTGCGTGAGTTCAAGCTCCTGGGAGTCCCTGTTTTTCTTGGTTTTCTGCGGTTGGGTACGGAGCTGTTGCCTGCGACCTGCTCTAGGCTCGGTCCCAAACCAGAAGTCCATTTTCACATATTCTTGTGCACACAAATTAATCTCTTTCCTAAAATGCTGACTGAAATTTTCAGTGTTTAAAGTACTACAATGTAGGGCCTTTTCTAAAAGTATTTAACCTGCAACTTAGAACACACAGAAGCAGTGCCCAAGAATGATAACTGAGGACGGGCAAAATTATTTACTGGGTACAGTGGTTGCTATAGAAGCTTGGGGACCTGAGTTCAAAATCCCAGGCAGTCAGGCATGACTGAGTGCTTGTGTCCCCATAGTTGAGGAGCAGAGACAGATGGCTCACAAGAGCACACTGACCAGCTAGACGCAATGAAACAGTGAGAGACCATCTCTGTGTTAAAGGAATAAGAAGAGAGCAGTAGAAGACACTCAATATTCTCTAGCTTCCAAATATATGTGCACAGGTACACACATCACTACATCCATGAAAACCACCACACACACACACACACACACACACACACACACACACGAAAGAAAAACAAAGGGCTGGAGAGATGGCTCAGCTGTTAAAAGAACTAACTGCTCTTCCAGAGGTCCTGAGTTCAATTCCCAGCAACCACATGGTTGCTCCCAACCATCTGTAATGGGATCTGATGCCTTCTGTTATGTCTGAAGACAGCGACAGTGTACTCACATACATGAAATAAATAAATAAATAAATAAATAAATAAATAAATAAATAAATGTTAGAGAGAGAGAGAGAGGGAGGGAGGGAGGGAGGGAGAGAGAGAGAGAGAGAGAGAGAGAGAGAGAGAGAGAGAGAGAGAGAGAGAGAGAGAGAGAAAGAGAAAAAGAGAGAGGCGAAAAGGAAATGACAGTCTAGTCCCAGGATGTTAAGGGTCTTCAAGACCACCCTCTGGTTCAGTGAAATCTTCAAAAGAGTGAAACTTATTTAGACTCAGGGGGTAAGATTAACCCCACACACCCTCCTGTGGAGCAATAGAAAGAAATACCTACAAAGGGAGAAAGGCACATGGGGAAAAAAAATCAAGAGGAAGTCAGATACAAATATTCTAGAATTTGCTCTTGGTGAGATTTACCTAGTATATGATTAATTCTACGAATAATGAAGTGGGAAAACAACTTTTGTCTACCAGGGAAGCTCATTAGCAATTCAGTGTTTGAGGCTATTATTATTGTC